AAAGAGAACTACCCTTCGTCCAGTTGTAGCTCCGCCCTTGATTTCAAGAAATGTCACCTTTCTATATCTGGAAATATGTTAACTTTTAACTTTTCATTTTACCTTTAACGATATGCCATAAATGTCTTAAAAGTTACTCCCTCCATTTCAATTTATGTGAACCTGTTTGACTGGGCACGGAGTTTTAAAAAAAATGAAGACTTTTGGAATTTGTGGTCCTAAACAAGCCAAAAAAAGGGCCCAGAATATTTGTGTGGTTATAAAAGCTTCTTATTAAGGGTAGAATTATAAGTTTAAACTAAATTGTTACCAAATTTAGAAAGGGGTCATTCTTTTTGGAACGGACCAAAAAGGAAATAGGTTCACATAAACGGACAGAGAGAGTACAAAAGTTGTAGAGTAGTATATTTTTTCAAAAGTCCGTACTCGATCAAATGAAAGGGAGGGAGTGTTTGCCACAGAAAAGGCTAGCTAAAACTCAAGCAGTACTATGCTTTAATTTAATTACCTGGCAGATGAAAATCTTGAAGGAAATTAAAGAAGCTAGCTCGACAGCTTCCTGCACCTACAGGATACAAATTAATAACGTATGATCCAAAGGATATGATGGCTTTGATTCGATGATGACTACTTCATGAAGAGTTGAAGCTAATTTATAGAACCTCTAACCCTTGTATAGGAATGGGAATATTAGGTAAACACCCACTGTTGTGCCACTCGAACTTCTTTTGAGCCCTTTTTCCCCCACTCCAACAAAAAGACCACTAAGGGGCGCTAATTGCCAATTTGTCATACGTAAATAAAGAAGAGAGCAATATGGAAAGAATCTTATACATTAATTTTTATAGAATATTTGAAAGGGACTCGGACAGCATTTGTGCTCTGCCATGATCCTCTTTTATACCGAATTTCTTGCACTGTTGCTTCGTTATTCTTCTTCTCCTTGTGAATGGTATTATGCTTGTAAAATTAGTATCGGCAACTCATTTTATTTGAAGAAATTCAGAAATAGCCAGATTTACAAATGGTCATTCAAAAATAGTCACAGTTTCAAAAGTTATCGAAATTTAGCCACTTTTCATGTAAAGATAAATCTGAACGAAAACACTGTCCAAAATCCGGTAAATACTCCAGCATAATATACTGGAGTTCAAGCATAAGTATACTGGAACTCCAGTATATTATAATGGAGTTCCAGCATAACTATACTGGAACTCCAGCATATTATAATGGAGTTCCAGCTTAATATACCGGTCCAGTATAATATGTTGGAAGTTCATACACAGGTGCTCCAATCTCCAGTATATTATGCTGGAACTTTTCGCGTGTTGGAGTTCCAGCATAATATGCTGGAAGTTCATAGACAGGTGCACCGATCTCCAGTATATTATGCTGGACCGGTCCCTGTTGCAGCAAAATAGTGGCTATTTTTCAATGACTTTGCAAATGCTGGTTATTTTTGAATGACCGGTCCGAAAACTGGCTAGCTCGTGCTATTTTAACCAATTTATTCTCTTTACTCTTAAGGCCTAAGCTAGAAAAGTTGGTTTGTTTGGAAATTGGGAGTTGCGAGGTTCTTTTATTTAAATAATTCAGTATCCGTAGTCTACTAGTTTGATTATCCTACTTGAAGGAGTAAACCGTTCCCTATCAAGATGTTCTTCATTCTCAAGACTAAATTCTGAAACCTCATATTAAAGATAGAAATATCACAATCACATCACCACCCCTGAGCAAGTAAGAGGGTATATCTCCGTTGGTCCTAACGCAGTACTTTCGCATTAGATAAGTATATACTTTTGACCAAATGCGTGCTGAAGAATAATTGATGGATATATCATTTTGCAGATCACAAGTACATATTCCTTATTCTCGGCGAGGGTGAATATATAATGGCAGTCCTGAGCACATGGAATAAATTAAATGCTCATATTCCCTTCCAAAAGTATATTGCGTTACTAAAGTCAGCAAATAGTAGTAGAGCGGTGCGGAGTAGGGCACTATTCTATAATAAATAGTTAAATACACCAGTTATTTACACCAAACTAAGAAATTAAACCATAGCAATTAAAAATTATGCGAAATATATCACTTAACCATGTTTATATGATAAATGTATATCTGAAACATACACGTCTTGCATATGTTGGTTTGATGTAAACACTGACTACCAGAAATTTAGAAATTATCTTGCGAATGTGTGGGGACTATTCCATTGAGAAATTGCACGTTTGACATTTTCGGCAATTACGATGCCCATCCCTTCCAGATTGAGATTCACAAGAAGAATGTTCGTAATGCAACTAATGAATGAGCAAACCTTGGAATTAAAGAAATAACCTCCCCTCCCGACACCCCACACACACAAAACAACATTTCTACTACATGTATTTTTTTTTAATTCTATTATACATAGGGGTAGGGGTAGGGAAAATAGAGGAGGAATTACAAGGTGGAGAATCGAACCCTCACCAACAAGGGAAAAGCTAATGTAGCCCAATTGAGCTATGAATATTCTCCTACAACATATATTGAATCGTACATCTGCTCATCTAATCCTTGCAAAGTTTGAGTCTCAATGCAACATGTTCTTTCAATAGTTTCATCATATGTGAAAGTCGGAAAAAATTTACCACATTTCTGTCCCTTTTTAGGCAGTTGCTATCTTCTTTAAACTTTCAATTTCTCCATGGTGTTAAGATGCTCTTGAACCACTACATACTAAAAGATCTCATCCTGGATAGGCGGATAGAATGGAAAAACAATCTTAATAATCGCGCGCGCGCACACACGAGAGTACACTTCCCACGGGATGTGGAGCAAAAAGAAAATGATACGTGATATGGTACTAGTATTTGAGAGATTACTTTCAGCGAAAAATCTAAGGTGAATAATGGAACTCAAGGCAAGATAACAGTTTTGCACATACCAAAAAGAGATCAGATTTTTTAAGGTAGTACGGACACCACTGTACAGCAGAAATTGCTCGCTCACTAGATACATTAGGAATGCAATCAGTAGGATGGAAAATCCTAAGAACTTATGACAATATCTAGGAGACCAGGCAAAATGACAAGAGGGAAAGGGAGAAATGTAAACAGGCCAGACTGAGCAATTTTCCGGGCAACAAAGTCTTTATTTTTAGATCTTATACTCATATTGACCAAAAGATTGAACTACTTTGAACCTATAGTAGTTAATCCACATCATCAAAATGAGTGCACCAAAACAGACGTCGATTTGGTAAAAATTGTATTATGTAGAGGTAATATATACATTGCTTCAGCAATAAATGGTGTAGTAATTAGTTGACAGTTAAGAAGATGATAATGAAGTAAGATATACTTTTTGTGCTTCTTCCCTAACAGACCGCAGGTTGGTTTTTATCTCCTTGCAGAGTCTGCCTTCAATAACCCGCACAGGCAACCAAAGCTTAGGTTCAACATCAACAATGTAGAAGAGAGTTGTATGAAATGGTTGGCCCGCAGAAGAATCATGCTCTTTAACACTACCTGGGTTGCACTGCATGTTTCCGCAATACAAAGAAATATAAGGGTTCTCGAGAAAACTGAATACATAACAAATTGTAAGATGCAATGTGAACTCATGAGTCCACTTCAAAAAGAGAATCAGCTCATAGTTGTAGAATTATTGCAAACGAACTTTAACTCATGGATTCAGAGAGTTGATTTTTCAAGCTTAACTTTTTTCTGATCTTTGTAGTGGTTAGTACCTACATTGCTCGGACTCTCCAATATTGTTGCCGCAACCGTGTCGGATCCTTAAAATATGCACTACTTTCAGAGGATCCGACACGCACCCTACAACATTTTTGAAGAGTCCGAGTAACATAGGTTAGTACTTAGTACAATTATCAGTATGACTTTTATCATTAATTTATCATGCATAACTTAAGACATTCTCGAAAAAGAAAAGATGGGATCTTCGGTTGTTTCAATTTTTATAACCTCACATTGCACGTTTTCCACTGAGTTCTGAATGGCAGAGGAAGGAATAGAAAAAGGGAAGGAAGAATCCACCACCTGTTCGATAGACCATTTCCCTTCAAAAAGTTTGAAGTCACCTTCCACCATCTTAAACTCAATATCACGCCTCTGACCAATGGGGAGATCTTCAAGATCTTTCTCATAACAATCAACGATACCTTTAGCATTAAATTTGAGCCCAAATGCTAAGTCTTGTTCCCCTATCTGTTCAATATTATACAATTTCATTAATATCATACTAATGACATATTAGTATATGTCATGGAAATTCACAAACAAGAGAAAATATAGGCATGTCGTCTTTTGACTGAAAAATTTTTGGATTCAAAATATCAGATAGACCATTCTTAAAATGCGCAAAGTCAAGAAATTCCCATAAGGAGCAGCATGTTGCTATTTTTCAAAAGAAGAAACATTTGATTCACATTCAATTGGATGTAAGGAGCTTTCTTTCACTCTGTTTGAATAATGAGTTTCATATATGCGTGTGCGGGTGTGTGTGATTGACTAGGAATGAACAGTGTGATTCATAACTTAGCCCGATGATAGTGATGAGATGTTAAGTTGTTTCGGAGTTTTTCATGTTTTGAACTTCACAAGAAAAGAGCACCTTTGTACTATTTGACATATTACATGTTGGTGGTAAAAGGTCAAGTTTATGAGATTTTCATCAGGCAATAAGGATTGCAAAGCAACATATACAATTGCCTAAAGGATTTAAGTCGTATACACTGACTGTGTAATGAGGTTTTTTATATCATTAGCGTAATTTAACTGTAGCAGGTAACTTAACATTTATTCTAGCCTGTAGGAGGTTACTTTTTAAGTGACCTGATTGTGTAAATTATTTTATACCAGTGGTACATAGAGCTTAAACTCTTGTCTAAAACATACTTAATGTATGGTCATTTGCAAGCTCAATAGTAATGGTAGCAGCAGCAGCTGTTGTTATTTTTCTTATAAGTCAATAGTTTGAATAATTCTAGAAACTAGTACATCTCTATTCTATAACAATAAATTAAAAAATAAGAAGTTGGAAAGAATTAAAAGGCAATGACCTGAAGAAGTCGGGCGAAATTAGGTTCCTTCTGAAGCAACTGGCTGACGGCAAGACCGGGGATGAAATCAGCTAACCTTTCATAATCAGTGAGGACTTCCCACACGTTCTGCAAGCTAGCGTTCACGGCTATCTTGGATCGAATTCGCCGACGACGTTTCCCAATTACTTCAATCTCAATCTCAACGCCTTCATCGTCATCGTCATCATCATCGTCGTCGCCTCGGTCTCCCGTATCATTGACATTATCATTCCGAGTGTCGCCATCGTCAAAGGTAGCGTTTGACGTGAAAGTAACGAGACGAAATCTTCCAGAGGTTAGGTTAGGGTTTCGGTTAAACCTGAGGCTCAGGGCGGCGGCCGATAATGCAGTGTTGTTGTGGATGTGCCACGTAGCACCAGCTGCTATGGCTTCCTCACGGTACAAAATTGAAGATAGGGGCAGTGAAGAAGAGGTATGACTCTGCCACCACAACTGGACTTGCATTTTGTTTGGATTGGGCCGGCTGGCATCATTCTATTCTATCTTTTTCATCTTCATTTTGTGAATACTCTATTTTTATTTTTATTTTGAACAGTAATAGGATTATGTATTACTACTTAAACAGAGTTAAACATATTACATAGCATAGAATCACCTGAGGTGACATTAGGGTAGGAGCTTGGGTACGTAGACCCTTCGTGCAAAAAGATATTGTCACTTGCAATGTTTTGGTTACCTAGGGTTCTAAGCATATTACAAACATTTATAGGAAGATTTTTTGATAAAATATTATCCCCGATCCTTGGTAAGCATTTTCTCCACAAAAAACGGCGGTGCAGCAAATATCTTAATTTCCCCGGGCAAATATTGTTTGTTTTTTTGATTTTTTGCATCCTTTGCTAACGCATCTGCAATTGCACTCCCTTGCCTAAAATTATGCCGAAGTAGAAGACCCTTCTCCTAGTGCATTAATGACCTGCAATAGTGAATTAGTATGACATGATCGTTCCTAATAGCCTTAATCACTTTTGTGGAGTCTGTTTCTATTTCCAATGGAAATAGTTTGAACATGTGTGCCAGTTGTAGTCCTTCATAGAGTGCTTGAAATTCGATATGAAGTGGGCATAGAGCATGACTGAATTTTGGAATCCTATTATCCATTTCCCATTATTATCTCTGAATACCCCGCCTAGACCACTTTTCAGATTTTCAAAGCTCCAACAATATTAAGTTTTAGCCAGCCCTTTGGGGGGGGGGGGGGGGCATGCCATTTGATATTGATGGTTCTCATGCTTTTGATGGGTTGATTTATAGAGGTCATGAAGTAGAATTCTAGGGCATGATTTGTAATTTTTTGATAGACGGACTGAGAGTCGTATTGTTGGTGTTATTCTTATTTCTATTTATCCAAATTCCCCAAATTATGAACGGGAAAAGCCGTTGCCAATCGATATAGGCGGAGCTAAAACTTGTTCTAAGGTTTTTTATTTCCAGCAGCCAGTGTTGGGTTATAATTGTGGAGAAGAATTTAATTCCTAGGTTGGCCCATAGGTTATGAATAATGGGGCATCTTAGAAAAATGTGACTGGAGGATTCGTCTTCCTTGTGGCACATGGCACAGGTATTGTCTATATTAATGCCAATGTGATGCAAGTATTGGCGACATGGAATTCTGTTATGTAGGCATTGCCAAAGAAAAAATCTAATTTTATTAGGGCAGTTAAGCTTCCAAATCCACGTGAAATCGTATTGATGGGTATTGGCATCTTGTATAATTTTGGAGCATGATTTACTAGTAAAGCAGCCGTTGGAGTTACCGGACCATCTTGGCTAGTGTTTAAAGGCATAGGAATTTGTTGATGTTTGTTTTGACCTCCTTAGGAATAGTGAAGGATATTTTCGATAGGTCCAGTGATCATTGAAGAGAATGTCCTTAATCTTCATGGTTGATTCTTCTTGTTTGAGGACCTTCTATGTGTTGTCTTAGGGTTTGACAGTTTGGAATCCAATTGGAGGTCCAAAGATTGAGATTTGAATTTTTGCCGGGATGCCATGTGATGCCTTTTGAGCATACAGACAACCCCTTGAGGATACTTTTCCAAACAAAGGAATTGTTTTTTTAGGGAGTATTTAGTGCGTATTTTAGAATTAGGGTCCTAGACCATAGAGCGGTGGTATTGGTCAAGATTCTCCAAGCAAGATTGCTTAGAGATGTTAAGTTCTTGTTTTTTGTTGTTATTAAACCTACGCCCCCTTCTTCTTTTGGTCTAGTAATATTGTTCCAGCTTATGTAGTGAATCTTTTTTGATTCACTAGTGGATCCCCAGATAAAGTTTCTTTGAATACGATCAATCTGTTTTAAGGTTTTATTGGGGAGATGTGTGTAGTGCATAGCATGACTAGGAATTGAGTTGAGGGTGGATCTGGCGAGGGTTGTTCTTCCAGCAATATTGAGAAAATTTGCTTTCCAGGAGGTCAATTTCCTTTGCATGTTCTCTATAATATATTGGTAATCTTTGGGAGTAGGGTGGTTATTGAGGATGGGGTACCCTAGGTATTTCCCAAAGGAATTATCTATTTTTATGTTAAAAATGGATGCTACTTCTTTAGCTATATGGGGGGGGGGGGGGGTCAGTTTTTTGAGAGGATAATTTGGATTTTGAAGATTGATATTCTGCCCTGATAATTTGCAAAACAAAAAAAGATTATTTTGTATGGATTTGCAAGACTTCTCATTGATCCTAGACATTAGAGTGAGATCGTCAGCTGATCACGTCCAACTATGTCTTCTAAAAGACAAAGCGGTCGTTGCAAATATAATCCGGTTTTAAGTCCGGAGTCGAATCCTCAGGGAACTAACCTATCTATTACAACTCTTGGCAATGCTATTATCAACTCAAACAATTTCCAGATGCAAGATTTTTATCAATAAAGGTTGGGTTTTTGTTTAACTACTTCAAATGATATTAAAAATAACAATATGCTAAATCAAAGATAATTCAATGGTAAAAAAGGTCTAGGGTATTGATTTCTCCAATTGCTAGTTTAAGTCTTAACTCTTTTACTATAATCTCGCCATAATACTCTATGAGGATTATGAGCTATGGGTTATCGTAATTATCTCTCGATCAACTACGATAATTTACTAGAGCATTCTCTCGAACTACTCTAGCTGATAATTTGTGCAGCTCTGAATTATCACACCAAAGTTTAGTTATCTCTAACCCCACTTTTAAATTCAAGTAATGAATCTCTTCAATTACCCAAAAGTGGTGTTGTTCAACAGCAGTCTAACCTAATATTCTTTCTCAAGCAACAAAAGGCAATTAGACACGATTAATCAAGAGCCCATTCAATTAATCACCATACAATACGTAGTTGAACAATCATATAATAAATCCGGCTCGATTATAACAAAGTTGAGTCAAAACTTCATCGAACAATTGGTTTCATCAACCCTAGATCAAATGTTTAGCTACTCATAACGAAGCAAGATAAAACTACAAAATTGTTCATAATGTGTAATTGCAAGAAATAAAAGGAGATAGAAGAACTCTAATGTTTGGTTGATCTTCTCACACTTGTTCTTGCCTTCAAAGTAGTCTAAAAACAAGCTTGATACTTTCTTGGACGAGCTTATGGAGTTTATAAGGGTTTGGAATAATTTTTTCCCGAGTTACACTTTGGTCCCACATGTTCTGGGCACTGCACCGTTCACCGCGGCCGCGGTGAGAGCCAAACATTCTGCCTGCGTTTGTGGCCTGCCGCGGTCCCACCGCGGTCGCGGTGGATTCAAACTTAGTCCCATTTTTGCTTCTTTCCGCTCGGGTGCTTCTTGCTTGGATGTTTTCTTCATATTATTGACTCCAAAACACTCCATAGTTCTTCCTAACTTGGATTAGTCCCTGCGAAGCAAAAGAACACCAATTAGAGCATTTTGTTATCATTTAGCCTATAAAACAACAATAAAGCATGGTATAATTAGGGTGTAAATATCGTCTATGTAGCCTATTATCAACACCCTACACTTAAAGCATTGCTAGTCCTCGAGTAATCCACCACATTCTATCAAAGTTCCTTCCCTCAGCTTTCCCCTTAACGAATCACACCATGAACAATTCACCAGATTTGCACCTAGTAGTGAACAACATTTGCCTCAAAAGTCGAATCTCTCATGCCATGCAATATTCGCACTTACTTAAACTACTCTATACAGAAGTCAAGACTTACCTTTCCTTCGTGAATCGCATGCCCTCACATCACACAAGAGAGTAGTTCCACAATTAATATTATTAAGAACAATTAGGAATTCAGATGGACAAAATTCGCTCACTCTCAAAAAGAACATTCACATGCCAGAAAGATGCACCATAGGCTTGCCCGTAGTGTACTACTCTACTAATCGAGCCTATTCAGTCCAAGATCAATTAGGACTTCACTTGGTTGTAATGTAGGCTAAGGGATGGGCAGGATATATTTGAATATTGTGACTAACCTCCCTAAGCACTTTTAATACAATTACATTAACCTTCAAAATCATGCTTATGTCAACCAGATGTTCCACCACATTTTTATTTATAACATCCCATTCCTCTAGTTGCATTTGTATCAAGCTACCACTTATCAACTACTACTTTTTTTTTACGTGGCACTTCTTCTTTTACTCTTCAAAAACTGCACATTTCCTCTATTTCATTGGTTCAACTCAAAAACCAAACCACCACCCCACACTTTAACTTTTGCATATGTCAAGACCATTCAAGTGCTCATGGGAGGTAAAAGGGATTCAAACAGATGGCTATTCAAATAATTGGGTAAGGTTCGCAATGTGGTTGCCAAAAAAACAGGCTTATAGGCTCAGCGGGGTTAACTACGATATATTACATTATATGGGTTTACTTTATATATCTGGCTTAACAAAGAAATGCCTATATCACTTCTAAGACTGAATGAAGCTACTATTTCGCTTTGCAAACACACATGGAAAGTTCTAGGCATCAAATGTAAAGCATAGAATACAGTACAGATCACACACACATGGCACATGACTCACTCCAGATTGGTTAATCAAGACACTCTCTTTGAGTGTTCAAGTCAGTTACAAACATACAAATTTAAGTCACTTTAGCAAGAGTCAACCACTGAGACTAGGCGCTACCTCTAGTGTTGACTGTGTTCAGGTGTATTAACGCCAAGGGTTTCTCTTTCTATTTCAGCTATTAGCCCATCAATACTAACTAAAAAATAAAAAATAAAAATAACAAAAACTACCTACACCCGGTTCAAGCTAAACCCTTGAAAAAGAACCGTGGCCTAAAGAAAAACCAAGGGGGAGTTACTACACTACCTAAAAATAAAATAAAAAAATCTTTTTAGTATTTTCTCTAGACTAACTTCCCTCAAGAAACTATCTCAAATATCCGTCATCAGGAAGAGTCCTTATATTCCATTTTTTTTTGTTCGACTAATGTCCCTCAAGAGACCTGTCGAAAGGTGTCCATCTTCGGGCCAAGTCGAAGTTAACTAACATGACCCTAAATTACCACACAATCAAAAATAAAAAAAAGAAAGCAACATCATACACAGTTATAC